GGCCTCTGCTTTCACTGTGAGTTTTTTTCTGTTTCCACCTTGTTCTCAGGATCCTCCCCCCTTTCACACTAGCAAATATGTATAATAGCAAGTGTAAAGTAGAATTCCCTAAATGAATCATAGATAATTTTGTATATAGAAGAAGTTGGGTCTTCCCTGCCTCAGAGGGCAAAGGTCAGTGTTTCAAATAGACACTACAAGTTAACAAGAATCAGCCTGTGTCTGGAGAGGGTGAGAAAATAACCTGGGAAACAGATCTCAAAGAACAGAGTAACTGCACTCTCAGCTGATCTGTTAACTGCTGCCTTCAGTTATGAAGCCTATTCTCTCTTCAAGGCAAACAGGCAACAAGAGGTGTGGCACATCCTTTTTGTGGAAGTCGAGCAGCAAACAGTTATTCATGACTAAGAGCAGTTGTAACAGGTGATTACTGCCTACCTGCAGCAGCTTAAGAGTATCATGGAGCTGCATCACTGGGATTTTCTGCAAGAATAAGTTTTACAAGGATAGCATAAGAATGGATGTATCTATAGCTTTTTTTCCAGTTCACTGACACTAAATACCTGGTTTTCTCTTTTTTCCCTTTTTGCCTTTTCAAAGACATTTTTAAAAGCACAGACCATTTTGATGGCAAAGAATTGTTCAGTGGGGTTACAACTGAGCAGTCTAACCTAACTTCAGAGGTGGTCCTGCCTTAGGGTGGTGGACTAGATTCCAACCTAAATTATTCCAGTATTCTACTTTTGCTATCTTTTCTTCTCCAAATGCTTTGTATTTTAAAATGTCTCTTCTAGTAATGCATCCTCTCTACTGGTAACAGAAAGAGGTGGCAACAGGTTACAGAGATGTTAATTTTCAAGGTAGTCCTCAAAAAACATGCCAGAATGTCAGAATCAGTTACCTTCTTTGGCATCTGATTGTTTTCTGTCTCTTGCATGAAATATATATCATGAATTTTGGGCCATTTCTTAGACAAACAAAGATCCATATCAAAAAACTGCTGCAATCTCTGGCAGTCTGACAATTAACAGGGATTCCAAAGATTTTAAATCCATAAATCAATAAATATTGTTCTTGTTCATGGAAGTCATCCTTCTGGATTAGATGGTTGAGCAGATTAGTGTGTCTTTATGCTTAACTGCTCTGTGCATGAATAATATTGTATTTACAGTAAACACAGAATTTAGGCATGGTGGAAGACCAGCCTGTCATCATTAATGAACAAACAGAGTATTTCAGCTGTTGGAGGGAGCTATTTCTCTCAAAATATTTTTGTGAAGCATGATAATTACTCTTAAAATGGGACTCGTATTTCTAGAAATGTTTAATAAAAACAATGCAAAAAGACTTGTAATACAAAATACAGGCATTGTAGGGGCTTACTGATGAGGACTTTTGATGGGAATGAATCAGTTTGGCTCCTCATGGTTGCTTTTCACTGCTAGCTACTATAACATGGAAAATAGGATCTGTTGTTAAACATATGGTGAATATCACTGTGTATGAATTTTGATCACTCTGACCACACAGCAGTAATAACCTAGTGATAAAAGTAGCACATTTGGTTTGAAGAGCTATCCCATTTCCTTCAAAATGTCATCATCCAGCAGATGGCACCACAGTTAAACTTTTTCTACAGGTTAAATGGTTTCCTTGTACTTCATTCTCTGTGCTCCAGATGATCAATGCTGCTCCAAGATACAGAGAAAGATCTGACATCATGAAATCAAGAAAATTAGATTGGCTCACTTAATCTACATTCTTCATATAATTCAGTGCACTCCACAGGGGATGGGTGTATAAAATGCATGTGCTGAAACTTAAGATATAGTTTTTATAGAAAGGAATAAGAGTAGTTGCTCTCATGAAAGTGATTGCTCTTATTCAGACAAGTGAGCCCTTGACTCCTTTAATAGACATTTCCCAGATCTTGAAACCAACATTGTCTCAAACTACACAAACTGGTAATTTCTTTCCTCTTAAGCAAAATATTACAAGAGCTTTATATTTTCAAAAAATTTTTCTTCAACATATGAGTTGTAGTTAATCTTTTTCTCCACTCCCAACAGATAGTTAAGGAATAAAAACAGGCAGAGGATGACTTCAAATAAAAATGACATTTAGTATTTTCAGCCATTTAAGTATATATCTGCCACAGGAACTCTTAGGATAGCTGTTCACATGTTGCTTAGTGGAACTATGTTTATAGAAGCTTTATTGCCTGTATTCTGATATCTTTCAGTGGATTACCTGGCTCAGGCCTTCGATTCCCTTCGCATAGACTTGAGGACAGATGAAGGGAAGGCCTTATTTTTGGAACACCAATGTGTGCCTGTCGTGTTAAGTCACTTAAAAGTATCCAGTAGAGGTCTGCTTTCCAGTGCTCTTGATGGATTGCTTCAGATGACCATGGAATCTGGTAAATTTGGGTAATTTAAAAAAAAAAAAAGATTAAAACTGGTGAGGTAAGCATAAATACAGCATAAAACCAGAATGTTTCCTCTGTGTCAATGATCTAGTATTAGCATTTGTTTGTGTCTTGTAAATTAATTAGAGACATAAAATGTATTTCTAAGTTGTCTTTTCTTCTCCCTGGCAGCACCTATGCTTTACATGTTGTCCTGGTTGCATTCATATTTACTGATGTCAATATTTCTGTTACAATTGTTGGATTGGCTTTTCAGTTCATTCCACTGATTTATACTACTGATGTTTTTCTTTAAAGTCAGGCTATGCCAGAGAAGTCCTATCATGAAAACCTGCCAGCAGGTGGAGATAAAAAATAGACTATTTAATTTCTTTTTCTAGTTTGAATTAGAAGCTCATCCCCAGTCATTATTCAGGTTCTAATAATTGGAAATGGCATTTCTAGAAGAGATGGTTTTCTGCTGAATTTTACTGTGCTGGGAGCCTATAAAGGGGTTAATAATCTCATTTATCACAGGGTTTTTCAAGTGATACAGGCTAAGAATGAGTTGATAACCAACTGGATGAAGACAGTGAAGCATTCCAGTGCTATGTTGAATAAACATTATGACTGGTGGGGTTTTTTTAAGATAAAAATCACTCTCAGCCTTTTAGAACAGAAAAGGGAAAGGGGCTGCTGTTATTTTGAATTGTGTATTGTTATTTTGCCAGTATTTTGTTAACCATTCATTGTAGTGGAAGAAAGAGGAGCTTGTTTGACTTGGGATGGAACAGCATTGAGTTGAAAGCCATTCTGGAGTGACCTAAGTGGCAGAAATATTTAGCTGAAGTTAAATTCTGGCTTACAGACTCTTTCTGACCATGTAGTTAGGGGAGTCTTACACAGAAGTATTCTTCCTAGTAGTCATAACTAGGCTTGGGAAAGTGATTGGGAAAGAGATAGTTGCACACACAACAGTAACCTCAGCAAGGTGGTGTCTGGTGTTGCCCAGTAGCAGTGCCTCTTCTGGCACCCAGCAGCAGGCAGCCAGGTGCACCAGATCCCTGCAGGCTGAAGAAACATTGAGCTATGTTGTGAGACTCACATTTTGCCTTGTTGCTTCTCCAAGAAGATGTATATATGTGAAATCAGGGGAGGAGGAGGGATATTTAATTGAATGGATGTTTGGTTGAGAATTTATTTCTTGGCAATTGGCTGTAGAGCCTTTCTCTTTGATAGAATCAAGTGCTAATACACAAGTTAGCAGAGGACTTTAGAGCCCTAATGGCTCAATGGTTGGACTTGATGATCTTGGAGGTCCCTTCCAACCTAAAGGATTCTATGATTCTAAGTTGTAGGCATGTTCTGCTCTTTTGCAATACATAGTTTTACAAGTGGTTGTAACAATAAGTAGTAGTATTGTAGATAGGAAATGGTATTTTCATTTGTTTGTAAGCTTCCCTTCAAAAAGTCATTAAAAGACAAACTAAAAGGCAGGAGTAACTATCCAGAGGGCTCTCTGTGAAATTGAACAGCAATTAATGCTGAATTCTAAACCTGTATTGGTGTGCAGCCTTAAATATAAAGTCATAGGTAGCTGGTTACATACTAAAACATGGAATCCTATTACTCAAGAAGACAGCACCTGACCAACAGTCCAGACTTTTATTTTTTTTCCTTTAAGATATTAAATCCTAGGTGTTCTTTCAGCTTGCTGCAATAATTTTCTGGCTCTATGAGAGTATTCCAAAAGTTTTATACAAAAATATTACTTTTAGAGCTGAAGTGATTAGAAATTAAGTTGCAAAAAAAGAAGCAAGTGCCATGTTTTTTTTCTGTATATTCTTTTTTATAACAATTTTTTAAGGTTTTTGTGTGTGTGAAGGATTTTTACAGATTTGCATTTTAGTTGTCTAGCTTGAAATAACTACCATATTGCAGTACTCCTCCCTGTAACTGCTCTTTTTAGAGTAAGCAATGAATGCTGATGGTTCTGTACAGTCCAGGTGTGTCTGAGGTCCACCTGTAGGTTCTCTTCCATGTAAGATATTGTATTTCTCAGGTTCCAGAAATGAAACCTAGATTTGCCTCATATATTAAGGAAAATTACTTGAGCTGCATATAAAGAAAATACCAACTAGTCTAAGAGATACTTCTGTTGACAGAAATCCTGATGAAAGTTTGCAGTACTGCTTAAGCCCCTGGACTGCTTTGGGTCTGGTATGCATGTTTTTAGATGGTAGATCAGTACTGTTGCTTTTTTTCACAGTATATCTGGTCCAGTGGGTCCAGGATCCAGGTTTCCATTGCAAGTTCATACAACATTGACAGTGCTGATCAGGCTTTCAGTTACTGAAAACATGATGCCCAATCCAACAGTTGAGGTATTGGTATTATCTGTCTTCTATCTATGTACAAGACCTTAATGACAAATTAAAATGAATAGTCTTACTGCTGTGCATCTTACTGGCACACAGCTGTCCCCACACTCACTCCTTCTCCATTTCTGTTCAGGAGATTTACATCAAGGATCTGGGAGAGTCTTGACACCACCATTTCAGTGGGAAATGGTGGGGGACAGAAGGGTGACATTCTTCAATGCTTTTTTTCTCTGCCTTCCTCTGACTTTATCATTATATGTTCACTGTCCTGGCCAGCTTAGGGTATGGATTCATATGCAGTGTCATCTGCTGTTCTGATTGTTGCCTTCTTCTGCTAGATCTTTCTTTCTCAAGAGAGATCAGCAGGCAGAGGTGGAGAAATAATTCTAGAGTGATTTAGGTGTCTGAGAAAGCTTGATAGGTTGTGAGGTGGTCCAGGGGATGGCTTCAGGACATTTCAAAACCTGAAAAAAATGACTGAAGTTGAGAAGTTGAGATTATTCAGTTCCTCCTGGAAACTGTGGCTAGAAAGCCAAGTATTGTGTTAAGTGCTCTGTAGTCTTCTTTTGCCTGACAAGCTGGGAATAACATTTAACAAGGAATTTTTTTGTAATAGGACTGCAGCATCTTTTTTTTGGTACTTTAGAGATGCCTTTCTAGGCATCTTGCTTTCTTTCTAGGACTTGCTTTGCACTAGTCAGCATCTCATGGCTACTTCTGGGGAAAGACTAAAGCAACAAGGATCATTTAACATAAGTCTAGTTAAAAGAAAAAAA